ACTGGGAAACTAGACAGTGTTGATACATGTAGCAGAATTTATCCAGATAGGAAATACAACCTAGTGAAGTTTAAATATGATTTATTAACCTCAACAGCCCCAAATGCTACAGCTGTTAATCAGACCAGTGTGTAAACATTTTGAAATTAATTCTGTAGGTACTTTGATCTTGAATTTGATCTAAAACATGGGGGAAGAGCTATAAAATATAGACATTATAAACTCTCAAAAAAAGGAGAGGTTTTAAATCGAATTCTTTGGCTGCTGGCCATGTTTCCATTCTCCCAGCTGAATGAGTACACTGGTGTGGAAGGATACCTTATATAGATGAGAAAATTTAAATCTGCCTATAGCAGTTGTAATAAGAGGTTCAAATAAGTTAATCAGAACACTGCTACATCCTGAGTCCAAAATACAAAACCTGGGCAAGTGAAAGATACTGTTTCAAGGGAAGTTTCAGTTCAGTTTCCATTCAAAGCTTATCTAGTAAAATCACTTTTCCTTCCTGTCACTTGAACTGTGTCATGTCTGTATTGAGATTTCTTCTAAGGATTTTTACTGGTTTATATGATTTTTTTTTTTCTTTTTTGCCTCCTCTCTGAGGCAGTGCAAAGCTTTGCTGTCCAGTCTCCTAGATGTTTTTATTTCTTCTTACCGTTGCCTCATGCACATTTTACCATCCTTTTGCATAGTCATTCTCTTTTTTCCTTATTGTTTTCAAGTCCTCTTTTCTGTGTCCTGTAAGTACACAGTGTCATCATACACTCATTATTTGACTCATCCTTAAAATATTCTTCTGCAAAACTTAAATCATAGTTCATGAAATATTCTATATCAAGAAATCCATAGTGAAACAACATTTATCTTCCTCTTTTAGGTCCTGATACAGAACAGGTCTTAATCCTTTTTTTAGTATTAAGCCAGAGAAACTACATTTGTGGTTCTCTATATTGGGGTTCCAGTTGAACCCACAATAGCTCTGTACTTGATTTTACCATTGTCCTCCTTGTACCCACTTCCAGTTTTCACTTTCAGGTGGGTAATTTCACATAATACACTCAGTTTTCCATGGTTTCTGTTGCTATTCTTGTTTTTTCAGTAGTTTGTGTATCTGTGGCACTATAAAAATAATGTTCTGCAAAGAGTATTGAAAAATATTTCTTGTAGAATGAAGGAATTAGTATTTATAGTAATCAAGTTTTTTCAGCAACTGACTGTACTTTGTGCATCAAAGTTCAAATTCAGATGGTGGAAATCCCACTGGAGTTGCTTTGCTTAGAGCTAGTAGGAATTGCGGTTGGCATCACTATATCTGTTAACTGAATTGCTTATAGTTTCCCGATTTATGAAAGGTGGTTCTTCTCCCTTTCAGTTCTGATCTACAATGTTTTGCCCTTTAATATCAATACTACTGCATGTGATCCCTTACTAGGTGAAAGCTAATCGCCCGTCTTGCATTTGTGGCATTGATCTTATCAGTTTTCTGCAACAACAAAGCTTTGCTGCTGTTTCCAGAGGCGTGAGTAAGACTAAGAGGAGCTCTTTCCATGTTACCAGAAGGGAGTGCAGTGCACAAAGTTAGTATGTAGGACAGGAAGATTTCTGAGTTGGTTTATAAGCTAGTTTGCGTTCTTGTTTGGGAACCTGAGCAGTCTACCGAATATTGGCATTGTGTTTATTTGCTTGGTTTCACCGCCATTTCTTCCCACTTTTACTTGCAGGTTAGTCACCTACTCCAGAGAGCATCAGAACAATGTCCTACGTTTTTGTAAACGACTCTTCCCAGACAAATGTGCCGCTGCTGCAGGCTTGCATTGATGGAGATTTTAACTATTCCAAACGACTGTTAGAGAGCGGTTTTGACCCAAATATTCGTGACAGCCGAGGCCGAACTGGCCTTCACCTCGCTGCAGCCAGAGGAAACGTAGACATCTGTCAACTCTTGCATAAATTTGGTGCTGACCTACTAGCCACTGATTACCAAGGTAACACAGCCCTTCACCTGTGTGGGCATGTGGATACCATCCAGTTCCTAGTTTCTAATGGACTTAAAATTGATATTTGGTAAGTAGGGGTTTTTTTCAGCATATATTTTATAATATATTAGTCTTCTGTCACCAGAGCCTTGCACATAAATCTGCTGTTGCTGAAATGCTATATTTGGTGCAACTCAACTTTTTAAAGATATCACTTAATAAAAACAAAAAAAGAAGGCAGGAAAACAATAAGAGGTCACTTCTGCTAGTCTGTGCAACAAGCAAAGCAAATGAAAATAGCAGCTGCTGGTGTGGGCTGCTGTATCTAATTCTGCCTCACTGATGACATTGCTATCCTGGTTTGACCAGACAGCCAGGTGTGGGTGGTTGGCACCAAAGAAAAAAATCACATTGACTACTTTAAAAGAATGTTCTCCACCACAGTTCTATTGTTTTAATTGTTGTACTGTATAAGACAAAGAAAATACAGTATATGTGTGTGTCAGTTCATTTCCCATACTCCTTTGGTAACAATGCTTCCTTTCAGTGTTTTCCCCTTCCCTCTAAGTCTGTGACTCAGTCCTTCTTTTAAATATTGTATATTCTTTCCTTCTGGCTTCCAGCAGCTGTCAGATGCCAGTGCTCAGATGTAAGCTCTCAAGCTGCAAAATAACTAGCTGTTTCATTGCAGTAACTGAATTACTTTGTTTGTGGAACTTTCTGCATATTCACAATGCGTGCAAAAACCAGTAGTAACTTCAGAACCTTTGAGTTTTTTAATCTGTCCCTTTTTCACCTGTCCCTCATAATGTTTTCAACTCAGCAAAACTAGTTATTGGCAGACCAGATTCTTTATGGGTTGTGGGTTGGGTTTTTTTTTTCCTCATTTCAAACAACTCTGGTGAAAATCCCTAGTCTGAAGGCAGCTCTGGTCCTGTTCAGTATTATTTTAATAGTAGCAGAGGGACCATCTGTATTTTATTTCATTTTTGCCTGACGTCCTAATACCCACATGGAAAGGGAACTATGAGGAACCAGATTGCACAATTCCTTCTTGAAATTAAACTTAATCTTGAATATTGCCATAAATCTACTGTTTATTTTTTGTTATAACACCCAGAGATTCCAATTAGATTAGAGTACTAGGAATTTTGATTTTATTTAGAGGAAAAAGAGTTGTGCAATTTCAAACCTAAATATACTGATTTTCTTCTATAGCAAATTATGCTATAACTTGTACAGATAGGAATTTCTTACTGTCTGATATGACAGAAAATAGTTCTGAGGACTTACTAAATTGTAATGTGTTATGCTGGGTTGTCTTGTTACAAAATTTTTATGTTAAAAGTTTCTTTTCTTCTCATGTCCTTTTGTGGGGTTATTTTAGCAATCACCAAGGTGCAACACCGCTTGTTCTTGCAAAACGAAGGGGTGTGAATAAAGATGTGATTAGACTGCTGGAATCTTTAGAGGAACAAGAGGTGAAAGGATTTAACAGAGGAGCTCACTCAAAGCTGGAAACAATGCAAACTGCTGAAAGTGAAAGGTATTTACAAAACAAAAATAATTACTAGGAGAAATAATGTTTATGACTTTTAGATTTTTGTGATTGACTTGATTGTTTATTCCTCAAAACAGATAATATCAAATTTGGCCTGGTATTATCAGAGCAAATCAAAATCAAATTTTAAATTTTGGAAATCTCTTTAAAAAGATCAAATGTAAGAAAAAAAGAAGAATTTCATGGTGGCTAAAGAGGTAGTGAGAGGAGAACTGAAGATTTCAGGAAAAATGCTGACAATTTCAGGGAGAGTATTCGGTTAGAGGGAAGTTACTAATGAATTCCTAAAGGTCTGGTTCTGGGACTGCACTTACTTATAATGTTCATAAATTATACTGGCATAGAAAGTAGTAGCATGTTAGTGATACTAAGAAGTGAGATATAGGCAACCCAGAGGAAAATTGGGGTGGCATAGACAAAAACCTGGGATGACAAGGGAGAAGAAATTAGTAGGAATAAATTGTGATTCAGTAGCACAAAGTGCAACCTCATTCACCTGAAGCTGTATGCCATAAAATGGAAGTTCTTCAGTAGAAAACGAGGGTACAGGAGAAAAGGCTTGATGTATTAGTCAGTTCCAGGAGTTGATGCTACCTTGAAAAAGGCAACCAAGTTCTACCATGTGCAGAATTTCCACTACGTAAAGAAAACTGTGAGCATCGTTGTAAAAAACAACGGTAACTTCTGCTGTGTAGCATGTTTTGTAATGCTGTTTAGCCCCATTCAAAAAAGTTTAATTTATCCTTTAAGTTCTTAAAGTGTGGAGAAGCCTTATTTCAGCGCTCAAGGGAACAGAGCATCTCCTTGCAAAAGGAGGCAACCAGAGCTCGTTTTAGCCTGGCAGAGTGAAGGCTGAGAGGTGTGTGGTTGTTGACAAGAAATACTGGGTTTGAACAACATAAAATAACTGTTTAAGACAAAAGATAATGATGGCACAAGAGCCAAAGGATACAGATAAACCACAAATACTTTTTTGATTGAAAATTGGGAGTGGTTTTTTACAATGAGCTTCCAAGACAGCCTTCTTGTAGGATTTAGATGAGGCAAGAAGCCTTGCAAGTTTCAAAGGAAGCTAATTCTCTTACAGAAATCATTGCCAGTAAACATGACAGAACATGGTACTGAGATTAATAATGCAAGAGATCTTTCCAGTACTGTTTTGTTTTGTTTTTATTTTTTTAATTTATATTGGAAACAGGATATCAACGTTGTTTGGAATACTTGCTCTTATACTGAATTTATTCAAATTTGTAACTTTTGATATGGTCTAATAATGATCACGAACTGTGACTGCTGGAACATTATATCACAAAAGACAGGGAGTTGTCTTTTATGTGACAGTTGTCACATAATTGTTGTTCAGTTTGTGTCAAAATGGACACAGCCTGTACTGTAAATGAAAATTAAACTGTGTAGATGGAGTTGTTATCTAAGTTGAGTAAACAGAAAAGGTGAAACCAACAAAATTACAGAAATCATGCCAAATACTCCCAGTGAGCAGATTGGAAGTTCTTTCTTATACATCAGGTGACCCCACTCATCAGAGAGACTGTTTTAAGCCCTGAAATACAAAATTTAATATTATTCTCAAAATTACATGGGTAGAAATTATAAGAATTTGTGCATATTACCTCTCTGACTTAACTAAATTTTATTGAAAGTTGCTTGTCACACAGAAATGCATTTATGCTGTTTTTGTTTAAACATATGGACCAACAGCTCAGCCCCATTTAAATTCTGATTTTTTATTTGATAGTGTCCCTTTAACGAACATAGCTTCCTTTCTGTTATTTGACCTTCCTAAATGTTATATTGTTTGCTTTGGCAAGGAAGTCAGCAACTCTCCTTGGGGAGGGGCACAGAGACATAAACAGTGCACTACCCAGCTTGTTTGTGAACATGTTTAAAATGTCTGAAATACATTATTTTTAAAATAACAAATAACAGATGCCTACAGCAGCAAAAGCAAGTGAGCTTGTGTGCTGTTTGCTTTGTAAATAAATAATGTCTTTTTAACAGTTGGCTTTTCAGACCTCCACAGTTTCACTCCTCCCTCTTAGTATTATTTTCACATTTTAGAGACGCTTAGATGAATGTCTTCTGTCCTCTTCTCCCCCGATGCTCTTACATTATGTATGAACCTGTGGAGAAATAATGGTTGCTCGTTCTAAAAACAGTCTCTGACTTAAGTTTTCTGCTCCTTATTACATACAGTTGCTGCTGCTCTGGAAGCAGAGCCCAAAGCTAGGTTCCCGAGTCAAATTTATTTTCTCTTGCTTTGCGCTCCTCCCCGTGAGGAGTGGCACTGTGCTGTCAGGAGGCAGAGCTCGCTCTGTCCGTCTTTCAGCACAGACAATCTGTCCATCTACACAGCCCAGCATGACCTGTGACTGTGCCCACAAGTGCAGCGAAATGTGAACTTCCATGTTGTGTTGGAAACAGAGGAGAACATCTGTCTGGGCTATGTGGCACAAACTCTTCTGTAGGATGCATCGCTGCGTTACTGTTTCTTAAGCAGCGGTAATTCCTAATAAGAAAAAGTATCTTGAATAACATTGATTTTAATTGGGTTGTAATATAAAATAGCAAAAGTGTATGTTTTAATGAACAAGCATGTGATCTTTCCACTTAAATTGCATTGCACCTTTATTTAACCTCTCTGTGGTTATGTATTAACTAGTTAGTACTTAATGAGTGAGTAGTTCTGTTCTACAGGACTGTCTTTTATTAAACCCTTTGTTTTGCTTGGGAAATCGTAATAAGCAAGGGAGATGACTAAATCCTGCAGCTATGGGCAAGGAAAAATAGCTTTACAGCAAAGTAAATATTTAAAAAAACAAAAAAGACAATCTGTTTAATAGGCAATTTCTGAAATCTTCGCATGTGACGCTGCAATACTTCATCAAGCTATGGGAGTTCAGGCTAATTATTCTTAAGTGGCTGTACTGCCGAAGAAAAAATACCATGTGAATAGTGTGAAGTTTTTCTGTGATGTAATCTTAGAAGAGAGATTCATAAATGAGACCTTTTTCTGATAACAATCATTTGTCAATTGATTATTGTCGCCAAGAACGATAGCATTTCTACAATTAGTTTTGACTTGGAAATTACTTTTCCCTGAAATGTTTTCTTTTATTATTGCCATAAGAGATACTTAGGCATATGATAACTGAAAGCGATTAGAAGGGAGGAAAAAAATTGTTTTTTCTCTGCTTATCTTCTGCTATTGACATCATTGTGTATATAGTTTGTTTCACCATTTCCTTTCTGTGCTTGTCAGAGCCTGATCCTGTGAACACCTCTGTATGTAGTTTCACTCAAGTGAGAATTAGTAGGACTGTGCAGATGGCTAAAATTTTACATAAGTGAGATCAAGTGGTGAGAAAGTTTTCCTATTCTTCGTGAGGTTTTTCATACAGCAACAGAGAGAGTTTCCTGTTACAAACCAATCGTGAAACCAGCAAAACTGGGAGAATGATACAAGAAGCCATGCAGTATTTGAAACAACTTGGGTTGTTTCTAAAGGTGATTCATTGTCAAGATGACTGCCTCATTCTAATTTCATATTTGTTTCTCATTTAAAAGTGAGAGTTCCAGTCCCTAAATTATAGTCTGACAATTTAAGAGGGCCTGATGGATTGGTAGTGGAATGTTAAAACATCAAAGCAGTTGCTGAATGCCATATGGCAGAAAACACAGCAATGCCAACTTGTCTTGAAGATCAGAAAGTTTCTGAACTTGTTATCCAAATTTATTGTTTTCTGTGGTATTCTTATGCTAGAGAAGAGGCCTCTGTAACAAAGACATGCAGGAGAGTAGTAAAGATCACTACAGAGTTCAGAATCTAAATTATATTGGTTAAAGTTTCCATTTTATTCATCAGAGTTTATTTTTAAATGATAATTTGTTTTATTAGCAAGAGCTGTGCCCCTTGAGGTTTTAGCTTATGCTTCATTAGATTTTACTAAGCCATATTTAGTAGGAATTATGAGGACTGACTTTTGAAGGCTTCTGGGTGGCAAGCCTGCAAACTCAGTGCAGTTGTACAGACACAAAGATCATTCTCTTTACACAGGTTAATAAAACATCCTTTCAACTAAATTAGGTTTAGAGTTAGGAGTCTTTTCCTGATCTGCTTTGTCTTGATTTAGCAGAGGCAATGCTATAAATCTGCAGGTGGGTTTAGTTTTTAATTTAGAATGTTTCGGTTGCTCTTAGTAGGATTACTGTTGTACTTAAAGGTGCATTCTTTTGCTCTGATGTATTTTTAACTTTAATCCTTTGTAGTGCGATGGAAAGCCATTCCCTCCTTAATCCAAACCTACAGCAAGGTGAAGGAGTTCTTTCCAGTTTCCGCACAACATGGCAAGAGTTTGTGGAAGACCTGGGCTTCTGGAGGGTGCTGCTCCTCATCATTGTCATTGCTCTTCTGTCGCTTGGCATAGCATACTATGTGAGCGGGGTGCTTCCTTTTGTAGAAAACCAGCCTGAACTGGTGCACTGAAGCAAATGCAAAGAAGTGCACCATGCTTTTCCTTGTTCTAGTCTTATTTTGAGCTTCTTGGAATTACTCTGTTGGTGCAGGCAGTGGCAGCTGTACATACTGTTTGCCTTTTGTACTTACTATTAACCCCTTTGAAAGAGGGATTGATTCATTTCAAGTAAAACACTAAATTCTAAAGCATTCCTAAGCTACCTCTGACTTATTTTGACTTGCAGGCAAAATGTGAAGAAAATCCTCTCTGTTGATAAAATATTACGATTAGAAAAGGCCTTTCATAATATTGAATTCCTGGGCATGAAAAATATATCCTAGTACAGAACCATATTTGATTTATTTTCCCTATGAAGAGAGGTAAATCTGTTGTTGGATATTTTTTGTGTGCACTTCAGTTGAAAGAAAAATATTCTTTTAAAAAAGTCCTCCTCAGGAAATCTGAATAACATAACAACGCATTCTGATATATAGACAGCAATAAGCTGCAACTTCATTGTTCTTTTAATGCCTCCCCATAGTTTCATATCTGCTAGTTTATAAAAAGAATAAGAAAAAGTTCAAGTTTTACTATGTCTTTAATGTATAGATCACTCATTTATGAGGTTAATGTAGTGTTTCTTCCTCAGATGAATTTAATGTTGTTAATACCTGCCTGAAGTGAATTTTGTAGAACAAAGCTGTTTGTTGTGCTTTGGAAGTGAAGTTGTTTCAGCCTTAGGCTGAAAATTTTGCCTTTTTGTTGAAATACTATTAAGTAAACCTTTCTTTGTAAGGGTGGTTAAAAAGTGATTTAGGTGTTCTGCTCTGTATATAATAATTCTGTAAGGTCATTGTCTTTGTGAAATATGTCATGAAGGATAATTTTTCTTCCTCCCACAAGGACCAGACTGAACCATAGAATTGTATTGTTTTCATGTTTGTGGAGAGGACTTGATTGAATAGAATTCCTTTCTAGAATTGTTTTCCATTTCAGTTGTTTTCAGACAGCACTTACAGGCTTATTAATTATTTTATGAGTATGCAGAATAAAAGTATTTAAAATGTTAATATTTAGGAACATTGTATGAAATGAAATCTTGACCCATTCTGTACTTAGCTGTGAAATCCTTTGTTTGTAAAAAACCTAGGGATATGGATCAGCTAGATACTCTTTTACAAAGGCTAGAAAGGTACTACATAGTAAGTTGCAGGTTTTCAGAGAAAGCAGATTCTCTCCTCCCATGCTGATGAGACATCTAACTCTCTTTGTTGCCATTGCCTTGAAAATCCCAAAGAAAATGAATTCTGCAAACCTAATGAATCAATTTTTTTTTTTACTTAGCCACTCCTAAATTGTTGCTAAATAACATCAAACATTTATAAAATTATAAATTACAGTAACTATTGATATAAGTAACCTACATCTCTCTGTTCTGCTACCATGCATATTTTTCTTTCTTGTTTATGGGTTTGAGTGAATAGGGTTGTTGTCTTTGTTTTGATGTGTGACATGGGCTGCACTGAGCTGGGCCGCATTCTAAATTGCGTCTGAATAATTCTTGATCTCATTCCTTAAGTTAAAGGTTAATGAAACGACACTTTTCTAGCAGCCACAATGCTGCAGAAAGGAAAGCCTCTTAAAAACAAAACAAAACAAAAAAACAGAGCATACCCCTCTTCTGAATACTCCAATTATTGTACGTGTGTTCATGAACAGAGAAATATAAACTCACATTATACCTAAATTACATTTACTTCTCTAAATAAGTACATTTCTGTTAATAATACTCTGTATCTTGAATAACCATGTTGTCTTTCAGTATGTATTATCTGCATGATTTGTAATTGTATTCTCAGTATGGGTGAATGCCACAAATAAATATATGTAGTAAATATGTTTTGTTTTATTATTACATTAGGGCAGTGGTAATGATGCTACCCCATTTTACTGAATTTGTTTGTTGTGCACTGATAATGAGCATTTCAGAAGTGGGGAGGTTCTCTCCCTGAGAAATGGCAACCACGCTGTTGGTACAAATGAGGTTTTAGAGCATGGTTTCTTGAGATTTGCCTGTTTTGTTTTCAGTATTGTTACTGAATCACAGTTGCTGTCTGTCTGTCTGTCTCTCCTTCTCTCTCTCTTACCTAAGATCTCAGGTGTTGAACACATGATCTAGAGGCCCATCAAGATTTAAGATTACCTATGAGGGGCTACAAAATATAACCAAGAAAACCAAGCTTGAGCCTTAAGTAGCCTTTCCTACTTTGCTGTACTTTGCTTATGCTGTATGCATAAGCAGTTTCGGAACTGCGCATTGAAAAGCTTTGAAAAATCGTGTGTGTGTGTTCCAAATTAACATATGTCACTTTTTAAACCCAAAGAAATCCAAAGCACAGTTTGAACTTCACTGTGTAATGGCTGCTAGTCTTTGAGATAAGGATGTGATAAACGTGACTAAAAGAGGAGTTTGTTCTGTATATACCTCTGGTTTTGAAAAAGGACAGCTGTGCCTTTCAATATGTCTATAAACATCAACGACTTCCTTTTCAAAGGTTGATTCTAAACAATTAATTTGCCTCCTGTACGCTAGATTTCAAGGAATACAATCTCTTTCTTACAGGAACAGAAAGAGGACTTTGGCCTACTTCCTCTTGAAGCTGTTGTCATAGGGAGTTCACTGATTCAGCATAATGATATAGATCGGTTTAGATTGTCTGTAGGTCAATAAGATTTCTTTTATTTATTATTGCAGTGGTGTCTAGATACCTTGATCCAGAGACTCCATTTTGCTAGGCGCTCTTCAAATCCAAAACAGATTGTTGTCTCAAGCCGTTCTCAGACTCATGAGCTAAAACGGAGTAAGGAATTGAGAGAGAAAACAATCATGGAGGGATGAAGTGATTTTTTTCCAGTGCCATAAAACAACTTGGTGAGCAAGATAGTGCAAGGTAAACTGGAGTGTAAAATGGATGCACACAGGCTACTCTGCAGTGGGCTGTCCCTGGGCTGACATTTATTCCATGGCAAGATCACACCTATCTTACTTCATAGTAACTTTTTCATGTACCGCATCTTTTTATCTTCAAGGGCTTCTGTTTTCACTCATATTGGTAGCTTGCTTTGTAGAAGGGGATGATCTGTTGTGTGACTGTCATGGGTAGGTATTGTCTCTGGTTGCCACAATACAATAGGTATTTCATTACTGGAGCTGATCTGGCACTGTGAGGTTTATCGTCATGAAAAGCTCCTATGAGAGGAAGAACATGGTTTCACTTTAAAGTGTTGAAACAGAAGATCTAGGCAGTTTCTGGGTCTGTAGCTGATCTGGAGCTTGATTTTAGCGTGGGTCAACTAATCTCTCTGGCCGTTTTTAGTAAGTAAGTAAAAATAATTGACTAGCCAGTGTATTGTAGATGGGCTAGTTAGCTAGGTAGCTCTTTTTCTAATGAAAATATATCTGGTCATAATACGTTAGAGAAATGCAAATTAAATAATTTATGCAGAAATTCAATAGCATTTTAAAGTGGTACTGGAAAGTACAAATTGCAAGTGAAAACTCCTGCAAACTCAAAAAAAAAAAAAAGGGTAATACTGTCTGTTGTCATATTCAGAATTTTCAACAGTCTAGCATATATTTAAACGTTACCTGAAGTTGACTTTTAACAGAACTGATTTCTTCCTCAGCTGACACACAAGTTAACTTGTTTCTGACGTTGTTGCTGTTTCTGAAGCCAGCTCTTTGTTAAATTCATATTTGAATTGGTGATTAAAATAAGTATTAAATGGTGGGAGAATTAGGACAGAATGCTTTTCCTTCATTCAGTGTTCTTTTCTTACATTTCAACATCAATCCTTGTAGATCGGTTACTTGGGATACACTTTGTAAAATTTCCTAAGTGATCCAAACTGTTACAGAAATTGTTGTTGCCAGTTTTTACTACATTTCTCATCCCTGGTGTTGGGGCTTTCTAGAAGAATTCAAATATCATTGCACAGTTTTGTAACCTGCAGTTCTCTGTAAATTTTGTAAGTGCTGAAATACTGTTGAATCACGGATCTTGAATCTCTATTAATATTATGAAATTAATTTCTGGTGACAGTAGAGAAAATTCTGTACCTGCACTTGCAGGGTAGTATGATGCACCTGTTACCTTAAACATATTTAAGTACTTCAGCTGAATTTTGTGTTACCTGGCATCTTTTGTACTGCTCTTACAGATGCTTCAAAGGAGGAACACTTTTAAAATATAGAGTATTAGGAAACAAATGCAACTATTTGGTAGTTCTTTGCTATTTATTGCCAGGAAGCGAAGTGTTGCCAGGGTCATGCTGCCAGAGAAATCTGAGATGAAAACTAGAAGCCTCCGACTGACAGTGACCTGGTGTAGTCTGTGCTGTTATGCAAAGCAGAACTAACGCTCTGATGTTGCAGCTGAAGCAGTCTGTGTGCAGAACCCTGAAAAATGTGTCTCTGCTGTAGGCATTTATAGTTTGTAAATCACTGTTGTAACTAAGCATTAAGCAACCAGTATTTCCTAATGACTATGATGAGACAAAACTATTGCTCTTCATTACTGCCAAGGGAATGGGAGATCTGCTGGAAATTGCCATAACTAAAAAGCAACAAATCAGAATTTCTTCTGAAGTCAAAAGTGTGAACAAGTCACAACTGTGGCTTCAAGTGACACATTCTTTCCATTTGTGATTTTAAACTACCTTCTGGATAAGGAAAAATGAGGAGACATTTGGAACAGAATTTGTTGTGTGGTACGTATGGTTTGCAGAAAATAGGAGGGAAACGAATGCAGTGAGCCAAGACAGCAGCAAGGGAGGCAGAGCAGTGTGATACCTCTGTGAATCACTGCTTAAAGGCCAATCCCGATGCTTGTAAGAAGTGCGAGGAGTGACCAGTAATAGCCTCCTAGCAGGAGGAGGATTTCACTGGCTTGTGATTACACCATCTCACAGGGGTGGCCATGCAGCCCTGCAACCTGAGCTGGCCCTTCTTGACTTTCAACGTCTAGAGCGCTGCTATTTCAGACAACTGCGTGTTTGAATGTGTGCCTACATTAACAGCTGCTCATGGGGAAGCTGAACTGGTTCCTCTTATACAAGAATCCTTCTGCACGCAGGTTAGCAAAAGAAGTTTTACCAAATGTGAACAGAAGCTCTTTGTAAAACATTAAATATTTCTGGTGTATTAAATTATGTTTATCTAAATATCAGAAGGCAGGAATCCAGATGAAGAATCAAGTATATGCAATAATATCTCATTTTCCTTTGCCAAAGAAAAAAGAACAGATAACATTCTCTTAATGCAAAGCAAGAAGAAAATCATAGTAAATTTGTTTTCAACTGTAGAATATGAATTCTTTACTGAGCCAAATTCCTTAGTATGAGGAATTTTTCAAATAACAATCTCTGGCAGGTAAGTTTTCTAGTAGAAAGGCTGACATAGCTTTGCAGTGGTGTGAAGGTAGTAATGTTTAAAGGTTGTGCTGGCTTAATGAAGCGTGCATATTGGAAAAAAAATAGTTAATAAAGGTAGTGGATTTCTGCTAGGATGTAAGAATTGAAATGCCATATGCTCATCCTCGTTGTTGTTGTCTCATTGCAGGCTGAGCATCTGGCTTGGTTTGTTTTGGTACAGATATTTTCAGATAAAAAATGAAGTATGTAGACATCCATAGGTTTAAGCTGGCAAGCACAGTTTCTGTAGTGGACGTAAAGAAGAATGGGCTACCGCACTGAAAGTCATGGCAGCTTGTATGTGGACTGCTCAATCCTGCCAGACGTGTTCCTTACAGAACGGATGGTTTTCCCATTTATGGTATTGGTTTGAATCCTTGTGTCAGTCGATGAACACCAGTGGTTAACACGGGGCTTGAACTGAAGGCTGTTTTCAAAAATTTTAATTATAATAGAAGTCAAAGCTTTATTCTTTATTTCAAAGTTCAAGGACCTTTTTTGTTTTTATCTAATGTTTACTAGAATTACAGCCTGCAAATGTGCACAGATAATGAGCATGTGTGTGTCCTTACTCTGTGCACTCCTATGCCAAAAGGAGGATTAGGAACAGCAAGCAAGGCCTCCAGTGAGATCAGTTTGAAATAAGTCTGATTTAAGGAATTCTGTTTTTTGTCATTTGTCATCAGATTTGTATTTAGTATACCACCAGCTCTGTTTTTATTCATTGCACTCACTTACTGACATATTTTCTTGGTCTCGGTGATACAGTTCAGGAAGTGTAGATCACATTACCTACCTCGCAAAGGTGTGCTTCACCCACCGAGCGCCGTTATTTTGATAGTAAGTGAATTCTTCAGTTTCAAAATGTTAGTCAATTCTCTTTGTTTTTTAGAGTTGTACTGTCTGCTTTGCAAAGTGAGCAACTCCTTTGCTAGTATGGTACAGTTTGTTTAGTTAAGGACTTGGTTGTTTTGTCCATTTTTCATGTGAAATGCAACAATGGTTAGGGGAACTGTTGGCCTTGGTTTAACCTGGTCCTCCAGAAAGCCTCTGCAGATGGAGTAAACACTTTGAGGATTAGAAGGCCGTCTGGCAATAAAGCTGGAGAGATGTCTATTCCCTGCATTTTCAGGCTTTCCAGGACCCTGGGAATTTCATATTGGGCACTTGAAGTCACTCTGCCAGCAGGACGATAGCTTTGTAGAAACTTTTGGCCTTTATGTATGTTCTGAAATTCAAAGGTGTACAGTTTTGAAAACTCTTGTCTTCCTCCAGGCAACAAGCTATGCTCCAATAGAGCAATTAGGAATACTTTACATGTATTTTTAAGCCAAGAAAGCAATCTAACTGCAAGTCAGTTTTTAAACCTTAACTAACGTAACGGTACAAGGCCACAGACTTCACCTCCTGCTGGCGC